GATGAGGTGCTTAAGAGATGCAAGAAGTACATTAATTTAGAAGAAACGGAGGCAGAGTTCGCCAAACTTGAGGGCATCATGAAACCTGAACAGAAGAAGGGAAAGCTGAGCTCGCCCAGGAGAGGATCACCTAGGAAAAATTCCCCAAAAGGAGGATCTTTCAAAAGACCGTCGCCCAGGAGGGATGGGCGAAATTCATTCCGAGAAGGGCGAGAAGATCGCTGGCGAGGGCGACCTCGGTTACCAAGCGGCCAAAGATACAACCATTTTACTCCCATCAACGCCCAGGTGGGTGAAGTCTTGGCGGCCATAGAGGAGAAGTTGGAAAGCAAGGAAGTCACGTGGCCAGCGACCAGATTTGAGGGGCCGACCAAACCGAGGTCGAATAAATATTGCAGATTCCATAGGGATTATGGGCATAACACAGAAGATTGTAGGCACTTGAAAGACGAGATTGAGCACCTCATACGGGCGGGGCACTTGAAAGAATTTGTCATTCGTGATCGACCACGGGGTAAGGAAAGGAGAAGATGCAGGGAAGATTCTGTGGCGAGAAGCGACAAGGATGATGATAGGGAAGACGAGCCCAGGAGAGAAAGAAGGAGGCGACAGAACGATGGTCGAGAGGAACAAAGGGACGAGATGCCAGCGAAGAGAGGCACGATCTACATGATCTCAGGAGGACCAACAGATGGGGATTCGAATAACGCCCGAAAGGGGCATGTGCGGGCGGTGAAGCGTAAAATAGAAGAGGTCGGGATAACCGGTCACATGCCAGTAATCAACTTTCGAGTAGAAGACGCGGAGGGAATTCTGTTACCCCACAATGACGCACTGGTCATCACGGCTGAAGTGGCAGGTTTTGATGTGAAAAGGGTGTTCATCGACACAGGAAGCTCAGTCGACGTGATGTTCTACGATTGCTTCGCACAGATCAACAAACATCTGAATCTGGAACTAAAACCGGTGGCGACAGCTTTGTATGGTTTCAACGGTGGAGAGGTAATGCCCATGGGCGAAGTAAGCCTGACCGTAGCATTGGGATCGGGTGACACGAGGAAAGTAAGGATGATTCGGTTTGTCGTGGTCGGAGCAGAGTCGTCTTACAATATTATTTTGGGGCGGACGGGTTTAAATGCGTTCCAAGCGGTTGTGTCTACATACCACATGACGATCAAATACCCTGTGGGGGAAAATGTGGGCGAGATTGCTGGGGACCAGCTTACGTCGAGGAGTTGCTATCAAACCACAGTCAGTAACAACAGACAGATGGCAGGGAAGCAGTTGAAAGGCAAGGACGAGAAGCCTGATCGACCAGGAGGGTCACGAACAAAGGAAGAAAAGGGAGGACAGGACAAGGGGAAGGAAAAAATAGACATACAGCCCGGAGGAGAAATCGAGGAAATTCAGATGGTGCAGGGGTGTGATGACCGCAAATTCAGGATTGGAAAAGATCTGGGAGAGCCAATCAGGTCGAAGCTGATCAATTTAATTAGGGAGTTTACAGACGTTTTTGCGTATGCAGCGGACGAGCTAACGGGGATCGAGGCCAGGGTGATCGAGCACAGACTCAATATTGATCTTAGTGTGAGACCGGTGAAGCAGAAGAGGAGACATCATGGTGTGGAAATGGACAAAATTATCGAGCAAGAGGTCGACAAGCTGATGAATGCGGGGCACATCAAGAAGATCCAGTTCCCCGAGTGGTTATCTAACACGGTAATGGTGTCCAAATTGGGAGGAAAGTGGAGGATGTGCATCGATTTCCGTGATCTAAACAAGGCTTGCCTGAAAGATCTGTACCCGCTGCCAAGGATCGACCAGCTGGTAGACTCCACGGCGGGTTGTGAACTGCTTAGCCTAATGGACGCCTCCCAGGGATACCATCAGATCCCCTTGGCGAAAGAAGACTGGAAGAGGGTGAGCTTCATAACAAGCAAAGGCACTTATTGTTATGTGGTCATGCCATTCGGACTAAAGAATGCCGGGGCCACTTACCAACGTCTGGTCGACCAAATTTTCAAAGACCAGTTGGGGAGGAATATGGAGGTGTATGTTGACGACATGCTGGTGAAGAGCAAAATGGAGGACGACCACGTGACTGACTTGAGGGAGACTTTCCAGACACTGAGGAGGTTCGGCATGAAGCTCAACCCGGCTAAGTGCTCGTTGAGTAAAGTCGGGAAAGTTCTTGGGGTACATGGTGACAAAATGGGGAATAGAGGTGAATCCTGAAAAAGTAAAAGCTGTGATCGAAATGAAGCCACCGGCTAATGTGAAGGAGGTCCAAATACTAACTGGCCGAATAGCGGGGCTAAGAAGATTCATTTCCAAGGTGGCCGAGAAGAGTAGCCCTCTGTTCAAAACCCTGAAGAAGAGCTCGAAGTTTCAGTGGACGGTGGAAGCCCAGAAGGCCTTCGAGGAGCTGCGGGAAATGTTGGCTAACTTGCCCTTACTGGCCAAGCCAATTCATGGAGAAGAACTTGTGCTCTACATTTCGGTGGGCGAGAGTGCAGTAAGCTCGGTGTTATTGTGAGAGGAGGGAGTAGCACAATTCCCAATATACTATGTTAGTCGGTGATGCAGGGAGCAGAGCTGAGATACTCGGAAATAGAGAAATGTGCATTGGCAGTGGTCGTGACAGTCCGAAAGCTGAGACCATACTTCTTGAACCACAAGGTCAAGGTGCACACAAACATGCCATTAGAACAGACTTTAGGTCGACCAGCAGTATCTGGCTGGCTAGTCAAGTGGGCGGTCGAGCTAAGTGAGTACTCTATAACATACGAGTCCAGGAGGGCAATCAAAGCGCAAGTCTTGGCCGATTTCATACGGGAAGGTACGAAGGAGGAGGAAGACGACGAGAGAATGTGGCAGCTATTCACAGATGGCTCAGTGTCGAGGAGCGGGGCTGGCTTGGGGATAGTATTGATTTCGCCCAAAGGGGATTACTTAGAATTTTCCGTCAAGATGGGATTTCGAGTATCAAACAACGAGGCGGAATATGAAGCGGTGATAAAGGGATTACAATTGGCCCTAGCCGGAGGCGCTCGGAAAATCCAGGTACACTCTGACTCCCAGTTAGTGGTCGGACAATTCCAAGAAGGTTTCGAGATCAAGGAGGACCGACTGCAGCGTCATGTGGACAATATGAGGAAATTGAAGGAAGAATTTGGGTCGTTTGAATTAATACAAATTCCTCGAGGGGAGAATGGTCGAGCTGACTTGTTGTCAAAAATTGCGCAGAACTTGGTCGATTGTAAGAGCAGGAGTGTGACCCTGCTCCATATGGAGAAGAGTGCGACCGAGGTGGAGGTAGCAGAGATCGAGGAAGTAGAGGATTGGAGAGCCTCAATCCAGAAGGAGTTGCGTGAAGGGGCCGTGAAGGCGGTGAGGAGATTTTTCGAGCAAGGTGGGATCCTCTATAAATGATCGTACGCAGGTCTACATTTGAGGTGTGTATCCAAAGAAGAGGGTCGATATGTCCTACGGGAAGTGCATGAAGGATGCTGTGGCGATCATAGCAAAGCCGGAGCCATGGTCGCAAAAATCTTAAGGGCAGGCTACTTCTGGCCAACAATGAAGATGGACGCTAAAGAAATGGCCAGAAGATGTATGCAGTGCCAGAAGCACGACCCGCTCATACACCAACCAACGGAGACAATGACTACGATGAGCTCACCAATCCCGTTTGCGCAATGGGGAATCGACCTGGTAGGGCCAATGCCGCAGGCAACAGGGCAGCGGAAATTCTTGATTGTGGCAGTCGACTATTTTACTAAATGGGTGGAAGCTGAGCCGTTGGCAAAAATTACAGAAGAGAAAGTGATTCAGTTCCTGTACAAAAACATTTGCTGTCGGTTTGGGGTCCCCAAAGTCATGATATCTGACAATGGGACTCAGTTCAACGGTAAGCGGGTAAGAGCGTGGTGCGAGGAAATGGGTATTGAGCAGCACTTCGCCTCTGTCGCCCACCCACAGGCCAACGGACAGGTAGAGGTGACCAACAGGATCATCCTAAATGGACTAAGAACAAGGCTGGAGAAAGCTTCAGGGGCATGGGTGGACGAGCTAACATCTGTGCTCTGGGCGTATAGGACCACTCCAAGGTCGACCACCGGCGAAACGCCCTTTAGCCTGGTATATGGGATGGAGGCACTTCTACCAGTTGAGTTAGAGCTGCAGTCCCAACGATCGAGCACTTATAATCAAGAGCAGAACGAGGAACTCATGCTGACCGCCCTAGACACTATCGAAGAATTCAGAGAGCAAGCCTCGACCAGGGTTGAGGCATACAAGCAGCGGATGAGGGCAGCACATGACCGAAAAGTGAGGATCCGCCGATTCCAAGTGGGAGACCTGGTGTGGAAAAGAGTAGATGTGCTCAAGCATGTGGGAAAGTTAGAACCCAATTGGGAGGGGCCGTACTTGGTCGAAAAGGTACATGCAGGAGGAGCATACTCACTGAAAGACGCAGAAGGCAGGTCGCTGGCTAGGTCGTGGAATGTAGCTAATCTTAAAAAATACTATGTGTAAACTCTCCTCTGTATTTGAGCAGTTGAATCATTGTAGTCCTCTTACGGGAAGTTATCAAAATGATCGATTCCTATAAGGAGATGTTTCTACCAGCGTCATTAACGTGTTGCGAATACGATTTCATACGAGCTTCATTCGGTGCACTCAACAACACTACATACTTTACATGCTCACAACACGATGTTTCTCCGATTCCCTTAAAGAAGACCAAAAGTCCTTCGTTTATGGAACACCTCGATCAAGAGGTGGGCGAAGGTCGCTTGTTTTCGGTACATTCTAAGGGGTGGGCATGAGGTCGACAACGTCCACGCCTCCGGGCTGGACGACCACAATGTTTTCTGAACATCCCTTGGGGTGGGCCAGTGACAAGATCAAAGTCCTTCGTTTATGGAACACCTCGATCAAGAGGTGGGCGAAGGTCGCTTATTTTTGGTACACTCTAAGGGGTGGGCATGTGGTCGACAACGTCCACGCCTCCGGGCTGGACGACCACAATGTTTTCAGAACATCCCTTAGGGTGGGCAAGTGACAAGATTAAAGTCCTTCGTTTATGGAACACCTCGATCAAGAGGTGGGCGAAGGTCGCTTGTTTTCCGTACATTCTAAGGGGTGGGCATGTGGTCGACAACGTCCACGCCTCCGGGCTGGACGACCACAATATTTTCGGAACATCCCTTAGGGTGGGCAAGTGACAAGATCAAAGTCCTTCGTTTATGGAACACCTCGATCAAGAGGTGGGCGAAGGTCGCTTGTTTTCGGTACATTCTAAGGGGTGGGCATGTGGTCGACAACATCTACGCCTCAGGGCTGGACGACCACAATGTTTTCGGAACATCCCTTAGGGTGGGCAAGTGACAAGATCAAAGTCCTTCGTTTATGGAACACCTCGATCAAGAGGTGGGCGAAGGTCGCTTGTTTTCGGTACATTCTAAGGGGTGGGCATGTGGTCGACAACGTCCACGCCTCCGGGCTGGACGACCACAATGTTTTCGGAACATCCCTTAGGGTGGGCAAGTGACAAGACTAAAGTCCTTAATAAGGAGCACACTTCAACATATTGGGCGATAATTAATTGGGCGACAATTAATGGCGTTGCGTTACTATGGTTCATACAGATTTAAGAGCAGAAAGTAATGATTATGGTTTATCATATGTGGGGACGACAATTAATTGCGTGTAATCAAGGACATCGAGAAAGCATAGGGAACACATATCAGCATGCCTACGAGAAATCATAATACAGAGCAGCTCAAGGAACGGAAAGGAAAAGCATTACACAACATGAATAAGAGGAAATTAGGGTTTTCATTCCATGGCAAATACAAGATTACAAGTGGAACTGAAATAAAAAGATACATAGTCAAAACACTAAAAAACTATTTAGGAGGAGCAGAGGTGGATGGAGCGACGTCGGTCGACTGCGCGGCGGTGGATGGAGCGACGCCGGTCGACTGCGCGGCGGTGGTGGAAGATGAGGAGACAGCGGCAGAAGCTTGTGCAACAGAAGTAGATTGGGCAACAGTAGTCGAGGACGCGGCAGCAGCAGTTGACTGAATGTTGGTAGTCAATGGAGCAAAGGCAGCAAACCCCAACTGAGCTGCTGTGGTCGAAGAAGCAATCGCAGAGGAGGAAGAAGCAAGGCTGGTCGA